AAAATCATAAACAGCGGATTCAAAAACTCAAGTCAGGAAAACAGAACACAAGAATACTACCCCACATGGAAGCCAGTCCAAGTCGTCGAAGAACGAACACAGTTGACAGCTGTAGGTCACGTGCAACAACAGACACCAGGAGCATGGCTGCTCTCCAAATGCGTCCCTTCTTTTGTATTGACCCCCTAAGGATTGCTAATCCCCCTTTCTAACTCTTCCCCCAAAAATAATATATCGCCCCTTTTAAAATGTATTGACCCACAAATTAATGAATATTCATGAGCACAGAAACTGCTACGTCATGAATAAATTAGCATAATTTTAAAAAAATTGCATAAAGTGTAGGTACTCCTTCTGGAGCTCTGCCCAATGAATTGCAGCAGCCAATCATTAGTAACATTCTTACCAAGATACATAAAAATCGTTTTTAATGCTTCTTGAGATATAACTGAAATAGCTTAAAATTCACACATTATTATGCAGATGAGCTCATTAATATGCACGGATGTCAACCAAAAACTAATCAAATCTGCGCATTGCCCCAGACAAGCTATATACCAAGTTTCATTGAAATCCGAACATTGGTTCTTGAGATATCGATGGAACAGACACACACACAGACAGACACACTAACTGCAAAGACTACCTTTTTGTGCTTCGCACACAGGAGTCAAAAATGTTGATCCAAGTAATACTATTCATTTCAACTGCATTATTTGTGTGGCATATTCTATACAGACCTTGTGACTTGTTTGGTTTTTCTATTGTTCTCCATCGGTTCAAGTACATGTTGAAAATACTTGTGTACAACATCTTCTGTTAAAGCTTGCCTAAGATAAGGCATAAAATAAGGATGCCTGGCAATTACACCTAGAACATAATCACTCTTATATTAAAATCCATATAAATACAAACATCAAAACTATTACAATTGACACATAACAAATACTGAAGTGCAAATACATGTATCATGTAAACTATTTTCTTTCTACATTAATATAATTTTTAATTTCGGAAAATAGTATTTTTCATTTATAAATGAAAGTATATGAATTAATTTGGAAAGAAAACATAGTCTCAAACTTGCTGCTGAAAAAGAAATTCCACAAAACACTTTATCTTTGACCAACTTTTCAACCAAATTTGCTTTTTTTACCATTTTTGGTTTTGGTCCAACGTTTCATCAAATTGGTAACACGAGTTAAGAGATTTTTTTATTGCACCAAATTAATACACTTTCACAAACCTTTTCTGAATATCAACCAGGAATAGTTTGGACACTGTAAAAATAATGTGTGACCCTTTTTGGTGAATAAACAAAGTAAAAATATGTCGTACCAATATTAGAAGAGTTTCCCTTATCACCACTTCTTGTATACGCAAGATCTACAAGTCTGAAAGTATGTGATCCACTCTTTAAAACAGATGAATCAGATATGGGAGAGTCATATTCTGTTTCTTGTTCTTCTTTTACAGGTGTCGGATTTGTAACTATCTCTTCCTTATCATCCATATGAACTTTAACCTGTAGGTAAGTCATTAAGCTTTTAAATAACATGTCAATACATAGTCTCTGGTCACATTTGGCTTATCTAACATTTATCTAACATGAAAAGGGAAAGGATATCCAACAAAATTGTAAACAAAAAAGTATGCATATAAAATGCATTCCATTGTGTCTTTATACCAAATATACATGTAATTATTTTGGGAGGGGAAGCTCCATTCAGTAAATAGTCAACAAAATGAAACAAAAATGGATGTGCAGATGGGCAACTATGGCCATGGTGATTCAACCTTTTGTACAAAAAAGGTTGGCAGTTAGGTAAATCACTTCAAAATCCAAAAGCAAGTAAAGACAATATGCATAGCTTGGGCAGAGGGTTCTACAAACCTGCCTACTCACAGTTCATACCCACCATAGACTCCGGTCAGTCAAAATGACTATTTTGAACTGTAGGCATTAATCAGCAATTCTGCCAATGACAGAGAGATAGAATCTAGGTCAGGGGAAGCCTCATGACCCCAAGATTCTTTTCCCTTACATCACGAACCACGTGACCGAGGCCAAATGGCGGCGCCATTATGGCTGGATATTCACTCTGGTTCCCTTCTCTCCGCATTGAGGACCTAGACCAACGCTACAGAAAGAGTGGGATGGTTGAGGGGGACCCGGAGTCTATGGTGGGTATGAAATATGTGAATAGGCAGGTTTGGAGAACCCTTTGCCCAAAATCATATCGTTCAATTACCCACCATAGACTCCGGTCAGTCAAAATGTGTCAGACCCTGATAGGTGGCAGGTTTTATGAGCAAACAGAAAACAACAATCACTCAACACCTTAGTTAAGACCCAAAGAGGGTGGTGTCTTACCTTGCCTGTGCTGTCCCTGGTGCAATAAGCCAAAATGCTGACACAGTGACAGGGTTCGGTGTGCCCGAGAAAGCTAGACCCAAACCCAATTCAGGGGTACTCTCATGTCCCTAATAAACATACCTCCCGGAATAAACATACCCCTGGAATAATCATACCCCTCGGAAAATTTACAAAATGATCGGTAAATTGTTTTCTTGCTTCTATATGCAAACTTTTCACTGTCCCTTGTAATTAGAAATACATTGTATAAATGGACAACAAATAATGCATTTCTAGCAATATACTTCAAATCTCTGTTCGAAAGGCCGCAAGATGTAATGAAATAGCAAACCAATCACTACCCAAGTTGGCCTGGCTGGGAAACTGCACAATACATACAACAAGCCATGCATGGCAAAGTCCCCTTTAGTTATCAAATTTAAGATGTATAGTTTTTATTATAGTAATATAGCTGGAATATATCCATGTCAGGAATATGATTTTTTAACATTAAAAAATTGACATTTGTATCTGATCGTCAAACCAGTACTTGTCCTTATTGAGAGATATTGCTCTGGAACAGCATTCAAAATCAGCCATTTTGAATACATGTATATATATATTTATAACATGATGTATAACGAATATATAAAATTTGAATATAATCAGTCAAAGCATTTAAGAGATATGGCTCTAGAAGCCCAATCATTAAAACAAAATGCCCGCCAGTCAGCCATTTTGAATCCAATCTGAAAAATAAAATGACGTGCATCAAGAACCCGTAATGTCTAATGTATGTACAAAGTTTAAACGAAATCCATCGATAAGTGCTTGATATTTGATGATTTTTTTAGCACAAAAATGGCCACCATTCGGCCATTTTGAATAGGATCGTCAAACCAATATATCTGTCTATCTATGACATGATGTATAATAAATATTTAAAATTTGAACATAATCAGTGAAAGCAAGTCAGAGATATGGCACGAGAACCACATTCATTAAAACAAAATGCCCGCCAGTCGGCCATTTTGAATCTTATCTGAAAAAACTAAATTATTTGCATCAAGGTCCCATAATGTCAAATGTATACACCAAGTTTGAACAAAATCCATCTGTAAACAGCCGAGAAATGCTTGATTTTTATGAATTTTTAGCACAAAAATGGCCGCCATTCAGCCATCTTGAATCAGATCGTAAAACAAAATGATGTGCATCAAGGTCCTATAATGTCTAACGTATACAGTACAGTTCTCGCGGAAGCTTTGGCTTTTGTGGCATCATTGTCGCCTACGCATGGCTTCATTGTCGCCTCAGCGTCGCATCATTGTGGCATCAGCTTCGCGTCATAGAAAATTGAAGCTGTGTTCGCCTCGCTATTTTGTGGCATCATCGTGGCCTCAGCTTCGCAATCTCATGGCATCAACATGGCATCAGCTTCAACTTATTGTGACATGAGTATGACCTCATTATTTGCACGCAGAAGGGCAGTAGACAAAAACATGTACAGAAGTTCGATATGTAATCGATTTGAAATTCAAGGCGAATAAAATAATATGATCAAGAGTAAAATGACATTTTAAAAAGATATCTTGTTTAATTATTTTAGTGTTGCGAGTATTGGGCACCAAAAACTTTGCGAAGTACAATCGGCAAGGTGACGAGTTTCATATTGACTGGAAGGAAAATTGTGATAAATTCAAATCACACGA